CAGTTCCCCTATATAGTGTAGCTACCAGAGTGACGAGGTCTATTGTGGCGGTCTGTATCCAAAGCAACATAAACGTTGGTTACGCGAATTTTCTGAGCCTGTTTTTGTCTCGTAACGTACGGCCACAGAGAATGTACTAAGTACGTAAATGTGTGCGGATTGTTGCGGGATGGGAGGTAAGGATTGTACAAAGAACCTCACTTTTTGCCAATAATAATGCCATGAGAATGAAAGTTTTAGATTTGCGTCCGGAACATTTTGGAAAAACATAAGGCTGTTTCATTATTCATCAGCTTTTGTACATGATGGTGAGTGCGAAGTGGCCAAGTGCGATGAATATGTAAAGTACGTAGTAAAAATTCACAAAAGATCAACAGCAACATGCAATATACTGCATTTCCTGGTAGGTGACACTGCTAAATTCTCCCTACATTCAACTGCGCTTAACCCTAACTCCCTAGGGTGTGTGCAAAATCATATTAAAATTGGAGGATTCAGGACTGTTAGGGTTAATGCATGGATTTAGTTCAACAATTGGCATGCCAGCCGCAAGTAGCCACAACCTCACAGTCCATATAAGGCAAATGAGGTCATCAAGTTGTCAAACAGAACAAGTTTTGATTGGATACAGCGTTCCGGCCAAGGCAAGTTGACATGCAATGGGACAGAAGCTGCATGGCCTTGCAGCGCTAACGGGATTGCTTGTACATGTACATCATTTACATGTACACATGTAAAGTACATGTACAGTAATGTCCGTGCTCGGTGGATACTTACATGTACGTATTCCCCGGCCAGGCCAGGGCAGTGCTTTATGTGTACAGTCTTACAGAATTTGATTGTTCGTGTAGTATAGGGCGTAGATACGCATTTTGGACCCTTAATGCTGTATGATTTAGGATTTGAAATGGGATTTTTATTCCTGCATTTTTCTGAAATAATGAATTATTTTTTGAATAATGAACTTTTTCGGCAGGGTGTTTTTGACCATGCGGGCGTTGGACGCAAATCTAAAATTTTCACTCTCATGGCCTAAAATATAAGCTAATAGTAATACTAGGTTAAACGCTACAAAATTCAATAACAGCAGTTCCACATGTTAGCTATTATAAAAGTTTCTTTAGGGGAACATTTCCTTAAGTAAGCGCCCAAAATGTGTTATCTGGTGGGCAATGGGTTAAGCTAGCTAACTGGGCAGCTTTCAAAATGCAAAGCGTACGGAACCCAAAAAAGATGGCCCCGTCAGGTCTACGGAGTAGGGCCTTACCGTTCGGGAAGTACAAAAATGTAGGCCTAAGTAATAATAATATACTGACAAGGTCCTAAGTTTGACGTTAGGCCTTGGTGGTCGACTCACCCGAGCCATTTTCCTTGAAACTCAAATTAGGGGCCTAAGCTTAGGCCTACACCGTACACGTCGTAATTAGTCGAACATACAGTACTACTTCTAGTAGTACCGTATTTTACGCTTAGAAACACAGGAGTAAGTCGTGTAACGCGACAGGGCCAGCGCCGGCTCCGAGGTCAACTGTCACCGTAATAAAAGAGGGCGCTTTTTCTTTACCACTATATACGTGGGAGATATAAACACATGGGGGGGGTGCACTACGCCAAACAGGTAACACGCGCCCATAGGGAGTAGTGCACAATCAGACCGAAAAAGTGAGGCATGTTGACTCTCGTTAAGAGGTTGGCCTCCGTTTTCTCACCGGAAATTCAAGATTATGGCCAATAGATCAGTTTTCGTTTCAATTTTATGGTTGTTAGCAACAATTTTTTTTCGCCTTTCCCCGGAAGATACCTCCAAACTATTAGTAAAACTATGCGCTCAGCTCTGAATGTAGCCTCCCGCCTCTATCCAAAAAAGGCCCGCAATTTGGGATTTTTGTGAATGAAATACCCCGAACTGTAAACTGTATCAGTCCCAATCTCGGGGTTTGTAGAAATAATTCTACTATTCCTCCTGATTCTGGCATGCCCTATTGTAAAAACCCCGTGGGATACCAAATGTTAATAAGCTCGCGCACAGAAATATGACCATTTGGTGGAATGCACCCATAAGCACGCGTTAATAATGGAGATCAATGGCGCACTTGACGCGGAGCACGCTAAGGACGACGCGTAACGAATTTACTCCTTAATGTACAGTACATGTGCATTTGTTCACATGTACATTTGTGTACATGTACATGTACAATGTACATGTACATGGTCTTTTCATACAAGCAGAACGCGCCGAAGAACCCGACTGAAAAAACTTATTACTACACCTCATAAATATATATGAACAAATCGGAGCGCGTCATTGGCTGATTCCACCTCGCGTCTGGGAAGTAGGGGGTGCATCCGATTAGCTTCCCTGAATACAGCAGTGTTACACGCAAGGGAAGCCTCGAAATGAGGCTAATTGAATGCTGCAGCGTACTCGCCATGGCATTCTGGGAAAAAGGTCAAGTCCCCGCCACGTTCCATCATGTACAGTACGTCCATGCACGAACAGTCCATCCGTGACGTCATTACACTCGAGCGGCCTCCAGAGACCCGCCCGCCAGCGCAGGGTAGTGGTGGCTGACACCAGGGCAGGCACAAAGATCACGTGATGGCTAAACGAACGCTCACGTGTAAGCTTGACATTGGGTGCGTTCGATTAGCTTACACGTGATCTTTGTGCCTGCCCTGGTGTCAGCCACCACTACCCTGAGCTGGCGGGCGGGTCTCTGGAGGCTGCCCGGGTGTAACGACGTCACGGATGGACGTTCGAGCATGGACATCAAAGAACAAACGTGGCGGGGACTTGACCGTTTTCCCAGCATGCCTTGGAGAATACGCTGCAGCGTTCGATTAGCCTCATTTCGAGGCTTCTATGTGTGCAACACTGGGGTATTCAGGGAAGCTGATCGAACGCACCCTTACACGTGTAAGCTAAACGAACGCACCGCTTTTATACCCGACCAGGTGACGTCATAGTGGTGCGTATCCACCTCGCTGCCGTGTGGTAGTTTTTTTTTGGAAGCATAAAAAAAAATCCCTCTGAAACCCGCCGCGTAAATATGCAGTCTGTGTCATGTAATATCTTTACGGAACCAGTCTGGAGTTGTATCCTAATAACTATTAGAGTAAAGACCCAAAACGTATGTCAGCACCTTACTATTGAAGCTATGTTTCTATGCACATCTGTACTCCACTATCATTAAATGAAAATTTAGCAGCTGAGAAACAACAATGGGGTCTGTGAGTACAAGTAGGCCCTAACATGAGATTTATGTTTGAATATTTTTGAAGTGTAGTGAAACAAATACAGCATGGTTTATTTCGGTGTAGGTCAGTTTGACTACTTCCTTCCGCTTCGCGTCGGGGGGTAGTCAAGCTGACCTACACCTTGGGACCAGCAACTCCCACTTCTTCCCTCAAACCATGCTGTATTGTACACTACCCTCTGTCTTTCTTTTGCTTTTTGGGGGTGCACTTCAACTAGGGGCGGATACAATAAGAGGATAATTTTTACGGAACGATGATGGCATGTGAAATAGGTTACTCTATTATCGCGGTAGTTATCACATTTCCCGATAGAAAATTGCTCGCTCACCTTCCTGAGTTATTCTATCCTTGTTGTTGGTTAACTCTTACTTTTTAACTTGATTCATAAATTTGTTTGTGATTCAATTTATTTTCCTCTACGATAGCTTAGAAAATCTGTGTGCGGACCGTATGCAAGCGGAGGTGGAGACGCTTTATTGCTGTTTCGATATATGGTTTCTACGATGGCCTTTAAAGCACTTTGTTTTTTAATAAATAAACATAAAAAGAATGATTTTGTTTTCAGAGGAAGAAAAATAGCCCTATTTTGCGATAATGTTCCATTTTACCTGTAATTGACTCCATTTTTCCATTCTTTTCCGTAAACATGCCATACGCCGAAAGAACGAGAGGGGAGATCGCGCAAGGCACGGTGGGGACATGGCGCGGCAAAATCGTTCTCATTGGAACGAGATTTGGAAGGGGTCGACAGATTTTGCGCGCTGTGATTGGCCAACGTGTTGCAAACTCTTGGTGGCGCACTACTGTGAGTCGCCCGTATTGTTAAAAATGTCTTCTTTCTGTGTTCTGTTTCTCCGAGAATTATGCCCATCGCATAAGACCTGAATTATTTTATTCAAATTTATGTTACAAATTCTAAATATCCATTGCAAATTCTTCAAACTGTATTTTAAAAAAAACAATTGTGACAATAATGCCGACGTAATTATTCGCTAATTGTCCCAGGCAAGGAGGGTAAAAGTACGATTGATACAAGTCCATTGTTAAGGGATTGGGGAAGCACTTTACGTATCCAAGCAGTTTTCTTCAGAGCAAAAGCCCTCGTTTTGACTTTCCCCAAAATGGGTACATTCGCAATTAAAATGTTCCTTTAGACGCCTTTGGTTACTTCGAAATTGACATATAGGATCCCAGCAACGGATATCCAAGGGCAGGGTGGCGTTAGAAACAACTGTTAAAGAGATAGACGGTAGGTAATGACGGACACAGTCAAGGAGAATATTTACAAATTTCGGAAATATTACTTCTTTTATTAAAAATTGTCAACACGTACGGAAACATGCAGAATTTTTTTCTCTGTTTGAATGAAACTTATCCTCAAGCCATAAGTAATTGATTACCTGGGCAAATATTGCGGATTGGGAACTCACTGGCAAGGCAAAATTAAAAATTTCCGATACCGCGATCGATAATAGAGTTACGGCGACAATATAGATCAGATCAACCTAATCATGTAGTCTGAATGCAATGTTTTTACAACAGAATTTCAAAATTTCTTATTGGTTATCACTTTAAAAAAAAACGAACGCAAATAGTAAATTCCAAGATGATATGAGAGGTCTATCGTGAAACAGCAGACACAATTACCATTATTTAACAGGATTCCAACCCCCCCCCGTTTCAATGTTGGGAGATAATTCTGCACCGGGCTGGCCGCTTCTACTGCAACGCTGAACAGGGGGGATTTCTTGTCAAGGGGAAGCAACATTCAAAATGGGCAAATAGTTGACGGATTAAAGGGATTTTAGAAGTGAAATTTCTCAAAGCATCCAAGGACACACATTGGCTTATCACACGTCTTGCAAATCATGCAGGTTTGCTTTCTCTTAGCTTTGGTGCTGCAAACAATGCAGTTGCGCGTTTTCTCACTTTTGCCTGGATAATGCTGTACATCTTCTGACACACAATGGATGCTCTTCTGCACATGTGGCATTGCACTCTTCCATATTGACAGCAAGCCTTGGATCAAATAGAGTCGAAAGCCAAGATTTGACACTGTGCGATTGGTGTGACGACTGTTATAAAAAATGTACGCTATTCTTGCATTTAGAACACATATGTCTAGAAGAGCAAAAAATATACTACAGTTACCATAGTTTGTCAAAAGTGTCACGCTTTTTATCCTACCATACAACACACAGTTGCCCGGAGTGGGTACGGTACGTGTGTGTAGCATCGCACAGCTAGGCTACATTCATCAGGCCGGGCCGTGGTGGGAGCTGTCCCGGACCACCACGGTGACTAGCAAGGGCTGGACGGGGCCAGTGCCGGTATGTACCGACCGCACTGCCGCTCAGACCGCAATGTGATGAGCGCAATGATAAAGTCGCCGCACTATGCACCATTATTGGCTCAGCGTAGAGACGGGGAGGACTAGGCTAGTTAGCAGGACAAGGGTGGCGAGGGACACGGGGGTGTCTCGCCCGGCAATCTGTTCGGACGTAGCGGTGA